TGATACAGGGCTTTAGAATATCGATACAGTATTGGGAAATGAAATATCGCGATATTTCAGTGTATCGATATTTTCTTACACCCCTATAACAGACTGACAAATGTTACATAAAAAGGCAGTTCTCTATGTTTTGCAGACAATGCTCAGCTACTACCCTACCAAATTCCAGCACAACTGCAAATTTAACTGAATTATAGGCATATTTTGTGTTTTCTAAGGTCGCCCGGCATCTTTATTTAGGTTGGCTTCGAACCTTAACCAGCTGTAAATGAACATAAAGTGATTAATTCCTGAAAGTTTCAATAAAATCTCTCCGATTGTTCATGAGATATTTTGCTAACAGACACGTAACACACATGCAAAAACATTATCGCCCGCCTTAGGCTTTTTTCAGATAATAAACTGCAGAGTGCAAGTATCTAAATTGTATTTTTCTTTGCTTTATCTTCGTGTTTTTGCATGTTTTTAATGGGGCTCTTGTGCTGAAAACATTTTAATACTTTTTTTTATTGGATTTAAAGGGTGGGGTGGAGATGTAGTTGGATTCATACAAAAAGGAGGTGATTTTATAAAAACCTGCTGCACAAACCCAGCTCAAACGAGACCAGTTCTGGTTCTGGAGACGCAGGACTAACCCCCTCATTAACGCCTCCTTAATAACATGCTAATGAGCCCAGGTGTGTGATTTAAATATGAACCTGCTGACTTGATGCTCTCCTCTCCGCCGGTACCTCACCTGTTTTTCCAGCATGATCATTCTCTCAGTCTCATGACCTTCATGGAGTGAATGTCCACGCGAGTCCACCGTTAAACCCACTCCATTTCTGTCAGCATCTTCACGGACGAACAGGAGAAAAAAAATCAACCAAAAATGAAGGTTAAATGATGCTCACAGCTAACTAGCTTTAGGAGGCTAGTTAACCGTGATGCTTTATCCTCGAAAGAAACGACTCTCGCATGTCTTGGCATCAATAAAAAAAGGAAAAGAGTGTTTTTTATCGTAGAAAAAAAAACCACTATATGGGTCAGTGGACTGGGAGGAGAAAACACATCTAGCTGGGTGCTAGTTAGCGTGCTAGCGTTAGCCACTAAGAAAAATCACAGTTTTATTTGTCTCCTCGTGCCCTCATCATCCGTTGTCGCTCCGCTCCCTTCCAGTCACGCTCGAAAAAATCCGCGGAGGAGACTTCCTCCGGCATCGGTTCTCCCCGACGAACCCGCCACGCCGCGAGTCATCATAAAAGGGCAGCGGAGAATCTGAGGAGAAAGCGGCGATGTGGGGATCCGACCACTGTGGCACTTAAATGGATGCTGCTGCTGGTGCTGCTGCTGCTGCTGCTGCTGGCGGAGAGGAATCTCCGCTTTCAGCAAGACGCGCTGTTGCTGCCGCCGCTGCTGCGGTCCGAGGAGTCACTGGGAAAAACGATGCTCCTGAACGCATCACACTTAGAGCGAATAATAAACAAACAAAAGAGCCCAAATCAGTTTTAATGCTTTTCTCCAGAACATGTCGTTTAGCTAATTAAAAAAAAGTCAAAACACCAAATTGACACAACAATATAGAATTAAACTAACACTGTATTTTATGTTCAGAGTTGTAACGTAACTAAGTGCAAATACTTTGTTACTGTACTTAAGTAGAATTTTGAGGTATCTGTACTTTACTTGAGTAATTATTTTTCAGCATACTTTTTACTTTTACTTATTACATTTTTACACAATTATCTGCACTTTCTACTCACTACATTTTTTAAAAAAAGGTAAGAAACAGAAAGTCGTTACTCCTATTTTATTAGTCGTTGTTATTTAAAAATACTATCCTGATAAATTGTGTCATTTTGGGAAATCTAACTGCTCACTTTTACTCAGTACTTTTACTTTTAATACTTAAGTAGATTTTGTGCCAGAAATTTACTTTTGATACTTCAGTACAAAAAATATCAGATACTTTAAGATTTTTACTCAAGTAATATTTTTAGAGAAGACTTTAACTTTTACCAAAGTATTTTTTATGATAAGATACTTGTACTTTTACTCAAGTATCACTCTGAGATACTTTATACCAGTGTTTCCCAAAGTTGGGGTCAGGACCCAAAGTGGGGTCCCGAAACATCAAGGTGGGGTCCTGAAAAGATTTTCTAAATTAATTATGTTTTTGCCTTAGTTGCCTAAAATGTAAACATGTAGAATAATAAATAT